AAGAAAGTAAGAAACAATTTGAATAACTCTATTTATTTAGTAGTTATAAGAGTTTGGTAAGCTAGTTCCAAAAAAAGATGTACAGTAAAGAATTTTATTGACGTAATGATAAACGCACTAGTCATTTTCCATTAATTATATTTGTTTCTTATAATATGCTATGTGTTCTGTAACATATTTATCTTAATTATAAGCGTTTGACCGGTTAAAATATTTCCCATTAGTTAAATTCAATTATATTCGACGCATTTTGATTCATTAAGGCTTGAGAACATCCCAAGAGTTAACTATTTGCTATAAACTTGCCGTTATTGCTAAAAATTAAACTTTGTTAATAAAAATATACAATTTTTTTAAAAAAAAGGTTTCTAGCTCTTCATTTCCAATATTTAGACTTTGGCGATTTGCTATCTTTATCATTTTTGTAAGCCTGTCTCTTGAATCTACAGATTTTATTAAAAGTGATTCTTCTTTGGACAGGAGTAATATACCGAAAAACATACTCGCTACTTCCTTGACTGGCGGTAGGCTTGCTATCTTGATATATTTCTGATATATTGTTAATAATGTATCATTATTTTTTATGACTCATAAGTGTTTAATTCATTAATAATGAAAGGAAGCCATCTTCTTCAATGTTAGGAATATCTAAGATTTTAATGGATCGAGGATATAATGTATGATTATATTACACGTATTATATAATAAAATTTATTAATTTGGCATAATTTTTCTTATCGATTTTATCATTTTTTCATTCCCAGTTAACATTAATAGCTCCAAAAAATTATACCGCACAATCCTTCGCTTATCAATCAATTTCTCAAATTATTGTTGACATGGAACCTGGCGAAGATTTTCATTTAAATTTAAAAAGTGCATTTTTTGATAAAGATTATATTAAATCATTTACAGTTCTTCCCAAAATTGCTATCCCAGCTTATTTACCTATTTATAATATCTATAAAAAAACTGCAGAGGAGATTAATGCTGATTTATTTTTTTGTGATTATTTAATAAACTATCCGTGCTATGATCTCGCCTGGAAATTGGGAAAACCGGTTGTTGGAATTAGTTCCTCCCTCGTTGGTACAATAATTGCAATGTTAATGTTGTGTATAATGGAATTTCTGACTTACAAAAAATACATATTAAATTAATAATATATTTGTTATTTATTAGCGTTCAATCCCCCATATAAATCGAATCCTTTATTTGGATGTCATGCGAATATGGAAAATGAATCGTTCTATGACAGATTTAGATGTGCAATCATAGCGCCTTTACGAGTTATTCCAATTTTTAGAGACTTTGAGGGATCTAAACGCTCAAAGAGCAAAAGTAGATGTCGATCCACATTGGGACATAAGAGGGCGAACATCAAATACTTTAATGTTACTTGATACTTTCTTTGGATTTGAGGTGATCATTTAATTAATTCTTTTGTTTTTGATTGATAAATTAGTAAATTGATTTATAACATTTTATACTTACAATAATATTTATTTTATTGTACGTACTGTACAGATACCGAGTGCTGAAACACCACTCCTTCAAGAAGTTGGTCCTATTATGGCTGACGTTTATCCAGGTCTAACATCGGCTCTGGACTCATTTCTTGCAGTTCATCCTCGAACATTATACTTTGCAATTGGAACCGTCGTGATCACAACTCCTCAAAACATTATAATTATTCTAAAATCTTTACTTAAATTGATCGATCAAGATGTTATTGATGGTATAATATGGGCTACTGCAAATATTGATACTTCTGAATTGCTTTCATTAAATAATTCAGATATCCCAATATCTACCATTTTAAATAATAATCATCCTAATTTTCATGTCACTAAATATGCTCCTCAATTTGCAATACTATCACATGAGAATACAAAAATATTTTTAAGTCATGGTGGTGCGTCTAGCAGTCAAGAATCAATGTATAATGCGAAACCAATGCTAATACTTCCTATAATAGCTGATCAACCTGCAAATGCTGAAAAATTAGTGCTTGCTGGTATAGCTTTAAGTCTTTTAAAGACTAACTTAGACGTTAATGATATAGTATCAAAAGTTAAAAGATTATTAAACGAAAAAAGTTTTAAAAAGAATGCGGAAAGATTACAATTTTTGGCTAAGGCAAATAATAAAAGAAAATATAGAGCTGCTGATTTAATTGAAATTGTAATGAATACGGCAAGGCTTGAAGGAAGTAAAGAAAGTAGTGGATTTAAAGTTGATAATGAAAGATTATTAAGAGATTGGATTACACCTGATTCAAGAATGGGTTATATTAGAGGAAAATATTTAGACGTTTATATTGTTGCTTTTATTTTGGTTTTAACATTATTTGGTGGTCTTATTTATGCTTTATTCAAAATTTTTAAATTATTTTATTTATTTTATAGAAGGAATTCTCAAAGTTCCCTAAAACCTAAAAGAGATTAAAAGTTAAAATGTATTAACATTTTTATAGATGTATAATGTGTTTATCATTATAAAATTTATTTGTTCATACATCTATTCTTTTTTTTAATAAAATCTTTTATATTTACAATAGTGTCCTTAGTATTTGTGTGATCATATGAGTGTTAATTTCAAAGTAGTGACTTTTTATTTCAAGTACTAGAACTGTATTAAAAATAAATCTGTTTTATTATAATAAAATTAAGATAAATTTCAATTAATATGATCTTCTGATGATATTACAAAAAGTATAAATGTTTAAGTCATTTATGTAAAATTGCAAAAATAAAATATATTGTAAAAAACAAACACAGTATAACCTCGATATAACGAACCTCAATAAGCCGAAAGTGCTATTATGACGAATATTTTATTCAGCTAGAATTCTATAGTTTAAAATTACCTTAATATAACGAATTTTAATTATAAAACCTCGGTATAGCGAACGAAACATTTTACAAATTATTTATAAGTAAATTACCTTGATATAACAAATACCTTGATAAAGCGAAATATTTTTATAGTATAACAAACTTCGTGTAACACTATCAATTAAATTCTTATATTGGAACACATTATATAAATCGAATGTTTTATAAATATTTATACTTATCCGGCATTTTCTATTTATTGAATTTTGCATATACCAACTGTTATCCGGCATTTGAAATTTTACAATTTTTATGCACGTGATTTACACACGTTATCCGAATTATATTAGTTAGTGGTTCCTCTTGTTCTTCGATGTCTTGCAAGTCTTCGTCGCAACCTTATTGGTAGCTTTTTCAGTATCGCTCTCATTATCATCCTCATAATCAGTTTGTTTTTCATCACTCTGATATTCTTCAATGGTAGTATGATATTTTTTATTTTAAGAAATAATCTATTTGTAACAACTTGTTACATAACAACCTGTTAATGTTAGGGTTAGGGTTAGTGTTAGATTTAGGGTTAGTGTTAGTATTAGAGTTGGTATTAGGTTAGGTTTAAAATTAATGTCAAAATTAATTATTAAAACCAAGATATTGATCATACGATGAAAAATAACAGGTCATTTTTTTCATCGAAATTCGTGTCATTCCCATGTGTTCGTAGCAGTGATATGAGTTCTGATGAAAAAATTTTTCGGCTATTTCGTATGACTAATATTGATGTTATTGTACGATGTAGTGCCCAGAATTGGGAGAGCGATAAGTGAGCAGCGCAGTTTTGCTTTTGACACTATATAGGTTATGCGGGATGAGTGGTTTATTAGGGGATTCGGGTTTTAATGAAAGTTGGATATTAAGGAGAGTTTAATCTTTAGGGTTATTGGGATTACTCTGTTAACCGTGTGTTCAACCTTCTACTCGTTCCTACTATCTGGGTAATTATTTTTGAGTCAGAAAAATGTTATTGCATCATATAAAAATTGGTCCGGATTCAAAAATAATTACCCATCTATCTATTTTATCCTCCCACTTTATTAATAATGGAACTTTTATACCGGGTGGGTGAAAAGTCTCTATTCAGGTCCGTTTTTTTTTTTAAATCGCTAAAATAGTAATTATTGCAATATTATATATAAATTGTATTTAAAATTATAGTAAAAAAGGGACCTGTATAGAGACTTTTCACCCACCTGGTATATTTACAATATTTCGTTACAATATGTTATTAATCAAGGAAATGTAGTAATAATCTTTAACGACGATAAATGTAATCATACGTACGTACGTTCGTAGAATATTCCCACAGCATGTTTACTATTATAGATATAATATTAAAGATTAAATCATTAATGATTATAATTAATACAGAAATAATAATAATACAGCCAAACCTTGATATAATCACCAGCTTGGAAACAAGAATATGATTATAAAAAGCTGTGACTATATAAAAGCCAAATTTTATGTGTTTTATAATATCTCAAAATAGTGTGATTATATCAAGGATATGACTATATCAAGAGTGACTATATTGAGTAATAATATTTAATAAAATTTCTATTTGTACACGGGGTAATCAGATTACATAATCTGGTGTAACATAAAATTATTTTTCTTTTAAAAAAATTATTTATAACTTAAAATTTCACTTATGAAACCACCTTTGAAGATTAGTAAAAAAAATTCCTTGTGAAATTTTGATATATAATATCTCTCACCTCTAACCAAAAACCCACCCTTACCCTAACCTTAGATAGCGTTTAATTTTTATGCAAATTGTTTGATTGTATGTTACACAGATTTGCAAATTAATACCCGTGTACAATTAGTTTTTTTTTTAATAATAATAATAATTAATATAATTACAGTCAGACCTCCCTAAATGCACCCTCCCTAAATGCACGCCTATGAAAAACCTCCCTAAATTCAGGCCTTCTCTTGGGCCCAACTAATATAACACTTATAGATTTTTACCTCCCTAAATGCAGTACCTCTCTAAATGCACGGTTGACTCATTTTTTACATATGGTCCCATCGCAATGCATTTAGAGAGGTCTGACTGTACATTGAAAATTGCCGTCACGACCATACTGTTTCATCCAATCATACAAATCTAATAAATCCAAGTTTCTTGTTTGCATTTAACTGAATTGTACTATTAATCCAAGCACCATCAAAAGGATCTAAACACTTTTTACTAGTTATTCATAGAGTTATTATTAATAATTATTATATAATAAATGAAGATATTTACGGCATAAAATATTGCTATACCCTCGAATGTTTCCATCCCAATCGATGACTCTCATGCACTCTTCATATGTTGTAAGATCAGAAGGATTATTTGTCCTCACAAAAGTTACTAGAATGAATGGTTTTTGTAAAGGAAATATTGTAATAGGATTAACTAAATTATGCAAAATTCTTAATTTATTGCTTTTAGTATCATTTAAATATATTACTTTATTGTCAAGTTTGTTAATTTTATATTTAGTACTATTGATGTCGAGTAAACAATAATTTATGGGATGTAAATTTAAATTGGGATCAATCTCTTTAACAGTTCCATTTAAAAAAATAAGCCTAATATATAATTTCTGTTCTAAACTCATTCTACCAATTTTTGAACAATCGCCTGACTGTGTTGATTCATTTCGTATAATTTGAACAAGAATTGTTCCGTCATCATAAGTTTTAATGCCAGCTATAAGAGGTGGTGCATTTTGATCACCTAATTTACTCTCCATGTAGTTAAAATATATTTATGATTTCGTTAATGTTATGAGTAAGCAAAAGAATAAATACTGCACAGTAAGAATATAAAGAAGACTAGACAATTTCATCTCGAATTATTTATATATCGTATTGTATGAAAAAATGAAACATTAGAAATCGAACAGATCATTTATATATATTTTTTATGCCGCCTAAATGGTTCCATCTGTAAAATAATCTATTAGAAATACAGTATAATGACTGTTCAATATTGTATGTATGTATAATTCCAAGTAACGGTGAATCAAACTTTGTCTTACCGATTATTAGTCTTAGAAATTTCTACGTATTTTTTTTTTTTTCTTAAGCGATAAATAGGAAAATTTTACAAAAAAAGAAAAGCGTAACTTCTATTTCAAAAAATTTCCATTGGGGCCTTACAAATTTGGATATCTCATTAAGGTGATTTGCATACAATATGTATGGGTTCTATTAATTAGGGTAGCTGCGCAGCGTGTGACGCGGCGCAGGACCAGCACGATCACTTGGCAAAGTTCAAAAGCATGTTCATG